TGTATTTACGCTTTATTTTAAAACGCTTCAATCGACGGAGTTAACTCGCTCTCTGTCCATTGCATCAGCGTATTTCGTCGGTTGCTGCGTTGAGTTGATAATAATGCCAGAAATGAAGTAGCAAAAACTCTAACATAAGTAGTTTGACAAATTCAAATGGCAAAGCCACACACTTGGTGACATTTTTTGTGTGGCCATGATAACATTAATCTATTTATTTTTGTTCCGGATTTTAATCAACAATTCTGTGCACTATTTTTCTATTGGTTCTCTGGCGGCCACGGTTTAAATTGAGTCATTTTGTGTGCGAAAGCAACCACTTTGCAATTCGTCGAGTGCATTCAGAAATGTGCAATGTGCATCGTTATCATTCCATTGAAATTGACGGAATTCTTTATTGAAGATCCAACCGAGACGTTAATAAAGACTCAAGCAGTTAAATGAAAACGTACTCTTCGTTGCAACGCAGAAAGCGAAAATTGCATGAAGAATTTGCTACGTCTAGACACAGAGAATTTAAATAGTGTTTATTTTATCAATTCAGTTGATCAAAATTGAATTTGACGGGTACTTTTTTTTGCTATGGAATTTTTTCTGAACAGTTTTTTGTTCACTGAATGGTGTAACTCGTAGCCGCGAGAAAGTTTTTGATACACATGAAAACTAAATTTCTTGCTCTGTTCCTCATTTGAAATGCGATAAGCATTCGCATCAACTCACGATTGCCATAAATGACAGAGACTCACATGTTTGCACACTGTGCATTGAAAAGGCTGAAGAACGATAATAACGGAAGAGAGCGCGCGATTTTCATTTGTTTGCACTTTTTTCCCGTTCCGCTTGAACAACATGAGCATGTTGAGTAATCGTCACTTTATTCACGATAACTCCGCGAAGCCAAAATAGAAGGGGTATGATTATGGTGTTGGCGTGCAAAAATGCCATGAGTCACATACAATAAACTTGGCGACTGCGTGTGTATCTAGTTATGTGACCAACACTCGATGCACTTGATATTAAAACAAACTTCATGAATAAAACCCGGTAAATATTTAAATCCAATTTTGGCGATAAGTGGAAAAGTTTTGTACACTTTTTTCCACTCTCCCGTTTGCTTTGCTGTTGCTTTTGTTGCTGTTGTTGTTGCACGGTGGTGGTTTGTCAACAAACTAAACCGGAAAAGCGATCATTTTTGCTTAAATAGAATCACAGTAGGCGGTTTTTGTTGCTGTTTGCGTGTTTGCCAAACGAACATCGAAAACAATTAATACGGAAACACTGAAGCATACCGTGTGCACGATGAGATTTAGATCCACAAATATAGATTGCGTTTGATTCATTTCGACAGTTTTATGAACGGCGCCTTTTTGTGGTATGCCATGAAATTCAAATTTTCGCGTGTTTGTATTCTACAAGATGATGTGATAAGCAAGCTATAGGTGAAGGCCAAAATCATGACGAATTCCGCTGATATCTGGAACAAATTCAATTCGAACATTTTTTTTTTGACGCACACTTTTTTTTGGCGAATCAAAACAATTCTATCGTTGTATTGACACGTGACGTGAAATCAGATAGAACAAAATATTTTTCTTGTTGTAAACGCACCGAAAAATCTTCAAATTTTTTTTTCTTATCTAAAAAAATGCAGAAGAGGAATCCTTTGAAGAATCGAAAATCTATAGCCAATTGGTAAGTTTGAAATGTCAAATCGACTTCTGTTTCAGTGTAGTTTCTGTTCGAACGCAAGCGTTTTCCCAGCATGGTCCGCAAAATTAAAAAAACAATTCTGCCACGAACCAGTTTCTATTTTGAATACAACATTTTGTGTTTTATAAAACCGTAATTTTCTCACATTCAACTCAATTGAAAATGAAAGAAAAACGATTTTTTTTAAATACGGGTTTAATCTACCGAAAGAAAGAAATGTTTTTGTCTTGTGTGTCAGCGGCATATTTGCACAATTTTATTTGGCAGAATCGAAACATTTTTATTTATTTAAAATTCAAATAATTATTATTATTTCACCACACATCACAATGACGACTATGTTTGACACTGCATTGAATACACTCATCAATGTAGTTCCCGTCAAAATGTGTGGCGTTGTTGGTTTGACGTCTAATGATCGAGACTATCGCGGTGCAATTTTATGGAACCATTTTTCATTCGAAAAAAAATTCGATTTGTGGAAAATACGTTTTTTGACCAAGATTTGAGTTGTTCCATTTTATAGCGGTTTTCGATAGCCGATTACTCAAAAAAATTGTT